TTGAGTCTTTTATCCAATTTTTCTTTATCACTACATATAATATGAGTTACGTACAATGATTGTTTTTCCAATATTTGTAGAACCCGAACTTTCATGCTTTGATTTTATAATATTACGTTGTAAAATGTGATAATTTAGTCATGTACTTAGGTTTTAGATATTTGTAATAGTTGTTTTCAGAACTTCGAACCGATTTAAACTGACTTTTCCAGTATCTGAAATCATAGGGAAATTTAAATTTCTTAAAATTAATTGACAATTTATTATTCATGATGATTTCATGCCCATATTTTTCCTCCGAATTCTTTAAGCAAAATTTATGAGCTGCGGTTCCAATTTTGTGTTATTAGCTTAAATACTAGAGTGATTTCACTTATTTTTAAACTTAAATGTAAGAACATTATTTGCGTTCTTTGGTTGATTTTTTAAGAAATTTAAATTTTTAAATAAATTATAACCACTTTTAAGCATTAATATTATAAATACCTACTCATAACTCACTTAAAAATTTAAACATCGCATAAACCAACGGGATAACACAGATAATAATGTTCTTATATTTAAGTTTAATGATAGGTCAATAAAAGTTTTATAATAAGTCTATTTATTCTAATATTTAAACTAAAAATACAAAATTGGAACTGCTAAACGTAAATTTTGTATTAGAATTAGTAAGATGAAGACATATGCAGGTACTACACTTCCCAGCACATAGTCGTATAAAAGCAAAATATTCAACGAGAATTAATTTTTGTAGATTTTAATGAAATATTTCAAATGATTGTAAGATTTGTRGTGCTTTTTTAAAACAAAAATAACACTTTAACCAATTCATTGTTCTGAAAATCTGTTTTAAAAACCCATTRAATATCAGAACAGCATAAAGAGCGTTTTTTTATGCATGATATCTTAATTTTAATTTGTATGCATATTATATTCGAGTTCTGATTTTTGGAATTTTTAAATACACTTGAAGATCATATTTTTGAACGCTTATGATTTTTGTACCAATTAAGGATCCAGTGACAAGAAAGTTATATTTGTAAAAAAAACGTAATAATTTCTGTTTGAAGCCATGATTATTTTACGCTGTTGTTGCCGCTGCTCAATTGTTGTTTTTGCCGCAATATTTGCTTTTTTTTACTGCTTTTTTCATATAAAAAACACTGATCAATGATACAATCTATAATCATCATTTGATGTACAAAATGCACAATAATAACAATGATAATATCGGGCCACGGTCAGGCGGGGAGAGTTGGGATATTGGGCGTGAAATTTTTGTGAAATATAATAATAATATTATTATTATTATTATTATTTAATATAATACGTATCATCTTCAATTTCACCGTACACGTTGTCTAACGACCGCAATGGTGTTAATGATTTCAGGTGATCAGGCGAATTCGGAGAGCAGCGAGAATTGTGGACGACCGTAATGTCCTCCGAGACGGCGCCGAACTGCGGTTACGGGAGCAGCGAAGAAACCGCATCGCTGCTGGTCAAGAGTCCACCGCCGGYGGTCAGGTCTTCGTCGGTGGCGACCGCGTCCTCTTCCTCGGCTGCCACCACCTCGGCCGCCGCCGGCACTTCCACATCGTCCGGGAAGCCAGTGTTGACTCGACAGGACTGCACCACGTCACTGATCCCGCACCACTACCGCAATTTGCAGAATGCCACGCCGACGCTCGGCAGCAGCGACGACAGCGGGCCGCCCAACGACGGCGGCGCGGCGGCAAGATCGGTGCCGGACATCGAGCTGCACTGTAGGTACTTGGCGGTGTCCCGGTGTCAGTGCCTGAGACGCAAGAGCCATTGCATTTCGCGGTCCGTGTCCCGGGAAAGTGTCCGCGGTGGCTGCGGATCGGTAGGCGGCGTCGCCGGCGTCGGCGGCACTGGTGTCGGCGGCATGGGCGGTGCAGCCGGTTGCTCGGCCGTCGGTTACGGGTACGGTTACGGCGTCGGTGGCGGTTGCGGCTCGATCGGCGGCGGCGGCGTCGGATCCGCATACGGACTGTCACCGCCGCCGCCCGTCCTGCTCACCACGTCGCCCAGCTCACGGATCATCAGGCAGAGTTCGCAACCCGAGGCCACCGGAAGCGCGTCCATGTGCTCGGGCCACTGTTGCCACAACATCCACCATCAGCCCAGCTCGTCGCTGCGACAACTCCGCGACCCGGCCGACAATATAGCCATGATTGCGGCCGACTCCCTGCGGATAAATGGCGCCATCAGACAATTCCGACAGGTTGGATAATAACAGTAATACGATAAAACACGTTAGGAGTTATATTATTATTACTTTTTTCTCGTATTTAAATTTTTTTTTTCTTTACTCAGCAACGACTTGCGTCATCGCGCACATTATAATAATATACTAAGTAACTGCATAATATATCGCTTCCTTATTATTTACTTGTACCTAATTTTCATATGCTCCACACTCGTTATATAGATACTTATACCACTCGTATATTATTATACATTTCCATTCCTCCCTACCACCATCACAACCACCACCAGTGGCGTGGTGAACATTAATAATACATAACGTCTAAATAGGTGCACTCGCACGGACCCTGTGGGTTTAGGTATTAAACGTTTTACCTTGCCCATTGTAAAAGTATCACTCACTACGTCACTGGCCGCTATACACAATCGCCCGTCGAAACGCTTTTTTTTCTCTTTTTCTCTCTCTTTTTTAGTATATTCGATCGAATTTGTTGATGAAAGCTGTGATGACGCCGCTTGCCCCTTACCTTACTACCCAATATATGTAGTAGAATGCAACAATTAAGTGAACGTTTTAATCGCTTTGAGTTCATAACTMTAGGTTTTTACAACACTATTTATTTTAAAATAGTCCAAGTACTATAGCATGACCCTACAGTAGTAAACTTTATTTATTATGATTATTAATTTACAATCAATAAGTTTTCGTTGTAAATATTTATAACCATTATTCATTTCAAATTTACGAACATTTGCTACTACTAAGATATTTTTTCTCTTTCGTCTGAATACAACCACCCCTCATCAAACACAATTTAATAATTYATAACTAAAGTGGTAGTATACTAAATCAATTCAATATAAAAATAAAATAATTTTCACATTGTAGGTAGGATAGGACAGGTAAATATTTATTATAAAAATATTACATAATTTCATACGTATTATGTAGGGATAGGCCGTATCTTAGAAAATYATCGATAGCGGTTCTTRTTTGGTTCCAAAATATTCTATTCCGATTCTCAATACCAGTTCTTCTTTAAAAAAATCTCAAAATTAAGAATAGTAGTTAATTAGTATTCTGTATAATACTATAATGGTATAATTTAAGAAGAATTTAAATTGTTATTTATTAAACCAGAATATTAATTATCAATAATATTTAAATATTAGATGTATAACATTATTCTACTACAGTATTCAGTTTAAAAATTAGAAGTAATTAATAATAAAAAGTAATTTATCATAGTATCAACAAACAGTGTGAAACAAAAAAAACAAAACCTATGGAACCGTGTATTCTGACCCAGTTAAATTTTATCCCCCGGTAAAAATCCACTAGTGGAATTTTACGGGGGGTAAATATTCACTAGCAAAATTTTACTGGAGGTAAATATCCACGGCGGGGTTAAATATCGCYAGCAAATTTCTACCGGGGTAAAATATACCTAGCAAATATTTAACGCAGATAAATAATCAATGGTAAAATTYCACTAGGTAGTGAATATTTATCTACTGGTAAAATTCACTTCATCAAATTCATAAATTTACGCTATTCAAATGTTTTTATATAAATTAATATTTTATGTTAACTTAACTAGGAATTATGTCCATTTCCCTACCACCCCCCCCCCAAAAAAAAAAAAAAAAAAAAACCAAAATAAATAAATACATTTTACTAATTCTTTTCTTCAGCCTTTATTTGGAATGTTTTATAATGATTAATGATACTTATTTCATTTACACATATATATAACTCACTGAGGATTAAAAATCAATTATTTTATTTTAGGAGAGCCATCATTTGGAATTTGTTTGTTTTAAAAATATATTTATTTATACTTTACGGGGCCCTTCCACACCAACTACATTTCATAACCCTGGTTACGCAACTTGTCACGTCAAATATTTTAGTGCGAGGGAATGGAATTTGATTTAATTTTATATAGTGGGAAAAAAGGTAAATATAAATACTATCATACTGTTCTGTATTTGATGTAGGTATAAAGGTATAAAGGTACTTAGATAAGCTTTACATTGAAACCTTTAAATACTGTACACTCTCGGTCACCAAAACATTCGTACGCTATTTAAATAAAATAAGGGGAAATAAAATGAGTACATGTATCGCCGTTTCCAAAATGCTGACCGTTATTTGGAGGTGTCCGATATTGAGAAGTGTCTGTTAAGGGAGATCATCGTAATATATAACCAAATTATTTCTTCGATAAGAYATACAATGGACCAAATTTACTGTTCAGTACAATGAGTATACAGCGAATAACCTCTAAATACCAGACACTCTTTGTCTCCAAAATTCCGTCCAGTACCTATTTGTAAGTACTAGGTGTCCACTATTAATAGGGTGATGTGTAAGACGAAGAATTCAAACACATAATAAATACCTAAACCAAACATATTATTTTCAAATAAATAATATTTTATTAAGTCAAGTGGATTTTTAYCCTGGGATAAATATTCAATACTGAAAAAATCGCTAGTGAAATTTTACTGTGGTAAAATATCACCGAGTTAAATTTTACTAGGGTAAAATTAACCTAGTGAAATTTTACCGGAGGTAAATAATCGCTAGTGATATTCGTGGTTTTACAAGTACCGATGAAAATTAGTAACTAAAGAGAATTGATAACTACCAGTTYCTTCGGTTTCTATAAAGAACCAATATCATCCCTAGTATCATATATAAAAACTATTAATAGTTAAAAGTGAAAAAAATCCTAAATATAAATTAAGACTGATTTAATAGTCATTTTTTGTATTCAAAATTATTAAAATTATTAAAATGCATTCTTTAATTCAATTTGTTTTTGCATACATATCTATGAAGAGTTTACAGATGATTTTTAACTCAAATATGGTTATAAATATTAAAATGCAGTGCAAATATTTTGATTATTGACAGACATAACTGAAGTGTCCATACTTAAATGTGTACCTATACTACTTGTGAATTTGTGAATCCCTTTATTAATAGCCATGATGCTTAAAGTTCAAATAATGAATTACCAAATTTTTGATCGACAGGACAGACATATTTTATAAAAAGTTTTAGTAACTGAAATAAAATCACAGCAAAGCTAGGAAAGATGTATTTTATTTTTTTGAGTGAGAAGCAATAGTAATAAAAATGAAAAGTATGATACAATTTAAGTGATTCTGTGTTAAAGAACTGTACTTTCAGATGTCTTTCAAGTTCTTAAGAAAAAAATACTGTTATTATTTACATTTAAATGTTAAAACAAAATACATGAATATACATATAACTGGATTTAAAAACAAAAATATTAACTATTTTAAAATAATTATTATGATAAATAATTTGTATGATAATTCATTTAAAATAAATTTTATGTATCAATAGTATTTAACCATTATTTTATACAATTATTTATTTAGATATGACAAAAATATTTTGTTTATATTACCAGATTGAAGGTAATAAATATGAAATATATGTATTATACTTAAATGTATAATATATAAAGAGAAAAATGTATCATTTATTCTGTTTTTGTTTAATACAAATTCTGCATATTATAAAATAACAAAAACAAACATCATACACAGGTTTTTAATTTTAAAAATGTGTTAATTCGTTTTTAAACAATCAGAAACCAAAGAACTTCATCCTTTGTAGATTTACTGRGGATGTTTRAAACTATTGGTTCAGAAAACATTAATTACCTCAGGTGTTCCATCATTCATCGTGATCTGTTCCAAATGACATATTTTAAGCATTGTTGGTGTGTCTGAAGGTAGAAAATTTCTAGGTCCAGACCCTTCAAAACGATGAATATTAAACAAAAATCATATAAATATAAATTAAATATCTGTTACTTATCATATTTATATTAACCTAACACAAATTACTAACTATAATCTTTTAGGAAGACTTTCGAAGATTTTAATACCACAAAAATGTATTTGATTTCCAAACGAAATTATCTTCATAGCAGTTTGTGATATTATGAAATTTATTAAAAATTTAAATAAATGATTATACAAGTCTGARCAAGTTATCAACGTTAAAAAGAAATAACTTTTAAAATTGAGTAAGATAATAATTTAAGATAACCGGTGTTAT